GCCCATGGAGCAGCTGTGGGCGGGAGGGAGGAGCTCCCAGGAGTGCTGGTTTCCCTTCCGCCCACTTCAGAGCCAGGCGACTGGCACTTCCTCACGGTCACGCTGGGCTTGGTGGGAGCAGGTTCCTAGCTCCGGGCTGCACAGCCAGAGGTGAACACACACCGCAGGCTCTGCCCAGTGCGCTGCGGGACTGGTGGCCTTCTGTCCTAGCAGCTGCTTTTAAGGCCGAGGCTTGAATTCATGCACCAGCCCAAGTCTGCCACAGATGTGCACCAGGGAGGACAGATGGGGGACACGCTGGGTTCTGGTCCTGCATAAGCTCTGTTTGTATTTCTGGGAGCTTTGATTTCATCCCACGGCTTGGAGGGAAGGGGGTGGCTCTATCAAGAAGTGAGCTGCCACAGTCAGAGTGGGCTGGGTGGGGACTGAAGGGACCGGCTCTGGCCTATGTGTCCCGAGAGCCCGAGAGGTGCAGATTTCAGACAGGAGGTTCTGGTGGCTGACAGGGAATGGGGACAAGACAGCCAGCCCATGGGAGAGCCAGAAGCTCCATCAGGCCACCTTCATGGGCTGACTGCTTGCTTCCCTCCTCTGGTGACCTGTGGCCAGCACTGAGTCAAGGAAGGTATTTCGGTAAACCAACCGTTGAGTTGAATAACATTCCAGAATTTTTATCTCCAGTGAACATTGAGCTTCAGAGTCACCTGCAGGGCCAGTGTCTCCCGAGCAGCTGTGACTGTCTCTTGGAAGTGTACAGAGCTGGTGGGAGTCCTTGGGTCATGGTCTTTCTCAAGGTCCTTTGTGCCCATGGTGGTTTGCTCAGAATCTCCCTGGTCAGTAGAGATGGGACACCAAGCCCACAGCCCACGTGCCAGGCAGAGTGCACGCCTGTTTGGCTGAGTGTGTTCTCTGTTGACAATAAATGCCTGTTTCTTCAAAGTCCCACGTTCCAGTCTCTGGACATCAAGAAATCCTGTCTCTGTTCTGAGAGGGATATTAATCCATAGTTTAGTGCATGTCGGTTAATCTAAAGTCCAGTCTTGACCACGGACAGTGAAGCGGGAGCCTGCCTTTGAATTTTATTTGGTGTCCACTGCACTGGAGACGCCAGCAGCAGGGGACAAACCCTAAGTGGTGGCTTTCACCAACCCTGCTCCAGACTTTTCCCCTGTGAGCACTCCCGGCCTGCACGCCCAGGTCCTTGGTATCATTACTGGGCACCTTGCAGTCAGGACACTGGGTAAAAGAGTGGCAGTGAGTGTCAGGGGTGACTTCAGCTCCTTTGAACACCTGCTATTCGTACCTGTGTTGGAGCCGCTGGGCCTTCTGGAGAAGTCAGAGGCTTAGCATGACTGACGTGGAGCTCGTTATGAATTGACGGTCTTGTTTTTTATTTTCCTGCCCTGGTTGGCAGCGCTACAGAAAGCCCTTTGCGAAAGCCCCAGCCTGATTTCACTATCAACCACTTAACCACGATATTAATTTTTTCAATTGCCGAGCTTTTAAGATCTTAAATTACGTTATGATCTGGGAAAATAGTTCTGTGGCTGAACCCAAACACTTTAACCAAGTCGGTGCATCTTTGAGTCACCAAGGCCCTGGGCATTGGAAACGCCCGCCCCTCACCCCGCCAGTGTAGGAAAGTGGATTGATTTTGCCTCCTGCTATTTTGCCATAGGAAATGATGCTACCAGACTTTTCACAATTTCAGAAAAAAATTATTTTTTGTTTAGGTGAAAATTCAGTTGACATGACATTCTCACCAGAGCTGCCCAAATCTCACGCTTTGCATCTTGTCGGTAGCTGTAGTTACAGGTCAGGAGGAAGGGAACCGGGGCCTGGAAGTTCCCTGGGCTCAGGCTGGGGCTCTCGGTCGGCACTGGGGCTGCAGGTTATGGCTGATGAGCTTACGGTACGAGCACTTGACATTTTATGTGGTTTTTGTTTTGAAGGCTCAGTGCCAGGTTTATGGAGCCAAGTGTTTTTTTAGAAACTCCCTGTTCTGGGGATGAAAACGCACCTCAGCAGAATTTCCCCTTTGCAGTTTGTATGTACCGGTAAAAATCGCTTTCTGAGTTAAAAACGCAACTTCCAACTTAGCGTTAAGAGCTTGAGTTTCAGATAAAGGGCCATTTTTTGGACCGTGGGTAGAGGAGTAGGAAGCCTTGAACACACTCGGATTGTAGTTCAAGTGTGCTTGGTATCCCACCGTGTCATCTGGGCACCAGAGGATGTGGGCCATTGTGATTTTAGTAAAAGGATTAGGGATGCAGCTCAGTGGCGGAGTGCTTACCAGTGCCTATCCTGGGTTCAGTCCACAGTACTAAAAAAGATGGTAGGTGCTATGTTAGAGTAACCCAGACAGTTACGTTCCCTCTACAGATTGTTATTTACATTGTGAATTTCTACCTAACCTTTTTAAAATCACACCCCAGTATGCTTGGTGGCTCACTGACTAAACCGTAGGTATTGCCAGAAACTGTGCTAAGCCTGGAGTAAACCTTCATCTTTGGTTAATACAACTTTCCTACTCTTAAATGCTCTTAGAAGACTCAAATCAGGGGGCCGCAGGGTGTCCCCATCATTTCTCACCCTTTGTGAAGTATTTTCAGGGGCTGCGCCCTGCATATCGCACAGAGTCCTGGGCCTCTCAGCTACTCTTGCCCTCGGGGTCTCAGCGCCAGACCCAGACCTCCAGGATCTGTTTACATCTGTGTTTATTTGAGCTGAGGAACAGCAACTAAACTTTCCTTTCTGTGGAAGAAACAAGCCATTTGCTTATCTCTTTCTCCCAAAAAGCAGCAGAGCACTTATCTTTAAGATAATCAAGTTGAGTTTGGCCCTTGGGGAGCCGTAGTGGGCTGCAGGGTTGGCTGCAGGCTTGGTTAATTTGCTCTTTGGTGCTTTGAGTTGCCAGCCAGGTGTGATCTTGCAGCCTCTGAACCTCACCTAGGGCTTAGGTAGTACTGAGTCGCCTGTCTGCAGGTCGGGAAGTCAAAGGGGAGGTTGCTTTGCTTTGCGTTAAAAGTACAAATGCCCTCATCCAGAGGTGCCTGGCAGCTAGCTGAAACAGTGTTTAACTCGAGCAGGGCTTGGCCTCCTCTGTCCCTGTACCCAATAACGATTGCAGCACGTGGACACTGGGTGTCACCAATCTCTCCATGTAGTAAACACCGAGTAGCATTTTTATGCTTCACAACTTTGTGCTATGTGCGAATATTTCACTGTATGACGATTGGTGTTTGTTTGACTCCAGGGTAGAAGAGGCTTGGCTCTGGGTCTGCTTGCCAGTGTCCCCAGAGCCAAGGAGGTGGCGGGCTGCAGAGGCTCAGCGTCAGCACCGCCCTTCCCAGGTGCTGATGGGAGGGAAGCTGAGTAGTGCTGGGGTGTAGGCATCAATCCTTGAAGGGCTGACCCCCAGGGAACGGCAGGACCTGCAGCCTCTTCGCCACTCTCAAGTTCATTCTTTGCCAGTTAAGTTGTTTTAAAATTTCATTTAATGGACTTTATAGATAAACCTGGGAACATCTGTGTGAATAAGCGCTAAGTACTCTTGCATAGCTGGATGTGGGTGGCAGGACCATACCTCACCTGTCCTGTGCCCCAGGGCCTGGGCCTTGGCATTCCCTGCCAGGGCTTCCTTAACAGCATCCTCTGGCTTGCCCAAGAGTGCAGATGGCTGTGGGCTGGGCTCTGTGACCTCCGCATAGAGGGCCTGCCTCTCCTAGGCCTCATCTCTGGGATCGTGAGTCAGTGCACACAGCTGGGCTCTGGGCAGGGTCGTAGGGTAAGGATTTTAAGAACTGGAAAAACTTAGGGCTTTTCTGTGCTTCTGTAGGATCTGGGAATCAGTATCAGTTTTGTGGACCTCCTACCAAAACGCAGAGCCAAAAGCCGTGTTACTGTGAAACCCAAGGTCATCGACACTGCATGCCTCTCATTGCGTTGGAGTGCAATGTGCTCCTTTTCAGGGACAGAGTTGGCTGTGGGCTGCAGGTGGCCTCCTGGAGCCTTCTCTCTGAGCGGGCACAAGGAAACCACCTTCCGCAGGCATGGCTGGTCCTGGGGCGGCTCACATTTCTGCTCTTGCCTTTGGCTGCTGGTGGCTTGATGGTTACGTTAGGCAGCAGATGAATGTGCTGGGTGTGAATGTTAGTGACAGATTAATGAAAGGGCCACCCGCCTTCCGCTTTCTCCTTTCAGAAAGCCTTTGCTCCTGGACCAAAACATTCCCTCCCCCGCGCGGTGTTTGCACACCCGGACCCGCTTTATTGGCTGCATCAGTGTAGAGACGGGACCAAGGAGCTTTCCTTTGGCCCTGGGTGGTGCAGTAGAGGACTGGCTGCTGTGTCACCAACCTCCCTCCAGACAGCCAGCCCACCAGCTCCGGTGTTCCCTTGGTTTGCTTTGGAAGAGACAGCCCTTGCAGCTCAGTTCTCAGGTGGTGGCTGACACATTCCTGGGAGTTTCACCTTAAGATCAAAACCGTCATCTTACTGATATGCTGATTTTATATTGTAGTTTGTTTTCAGGGTATTTACTTAGAAGTGTGTGTGTGTGTGTGTGTGTGTGTGTGTGTGTGTGTGTGTGTGTGTGTGTGTGTGTGTGTGTCTGAGTATGTGTGTGATTTTATTTATTTATTTATTTATTTATTTTGCAGTGCTGGGGAGGGAACCTGGGTCCTCTAGCAACCTGGGTGAGGCTGCCCCTCGCTGTGCCCCCAGTGTGATTTCTTTGGTGTTCATGAATCCTCTTGCAATGAAGACTGCATGCATGAGCCTGGATGTTTTTAATTGCTGCAAATCTGAATTTCCAGTTGTACGACAGGAATTTATTCTGCATTTCTTATGCCTTGGCCAAAACCACAGCAGACTTGTCGCTGTGATCCGGAATGCGTGTTGTAGCTCTGGAGAGTCCAGAACCTCGAGTGTACGGAGTGGGCTTGCATCCTGGGGACGAGGACCGCGCACGGTATAATTCTGTTCTGTTTGTCCCCGCAGCTTCCATGCGGGAGTCTCAGGCAGAACCTGCAGACATGCGCCCGGAGATCTGGATCGCGCAGGAGCTGCGGCGAATCGGAGATGAGTTTAACCTGTATTACCCACGGAGGGTAAGGTCGCCATCCCGTCCCATCCTGTCCGTGCCCTGCGTGCAAAGACTGAGTGGGACAGGAGCCCCGCTGACTCTGGAAGTGGAGGCCCTGCCACGTCTTGCCTGCTCTCCTTTCCCGCTTGCCATGGCTCTAGGCTGAACTCGGTGATGGCCACACATAAGACAGATGTGGGCTGCAGGGGTGTTAGGAGCAGAGACCCGACAACCCCAAGCTGAGGGTCACGAGCTCCGGGGCCCAGCTCCCGGGGGAGCGAGCTGCCAGCCCACATGCCAAGCTGCTGCACTCCCTCTGCAGCTTGGGTCGCAGTCGAGCTCAGTTGGCACCACGGTGCTTGGTCCTGGGGAACAGCGCCAGCACCCATCGAAGACTCCCGTGACCTGTAACTACCTACGTCACAGCAGGAAGCGTTGTCCTCTCGACCCCCGTTGCACGTTGTTTTTATTTATTTTTTTATGGGCACTGAGAATCGAACCCAGGGGTACTTAACCACTGAGCCACATCCCCAACCCTTTTTATTTTTTAAGACAGTCTCCATAAGCTGAGGCTGGCCTCGACCTTGTGATCCCCCTGCCTCAGCTTCCAAAGTTGCTGGGATCACAGGCGTCCGCTTGTTTGTTGAAATATATCGAGAAGCCATTAATCAGTGGCCCAAGTTACAGAAAAACTGGACTGCGTATCTTCCATAGAAGCAGTGTGTCCTTAAAGTAGTTTTAGTCTGCCTCTGACGTGTTCTCTGAAGGCATTTTGGTGCTGCTGTGTTCGTCTGGGCCACAGTGTACGCAGGTGGTCCTCATGCTGAGGAGGGGAGGGACGGGGTCCCTTCCGGAGAGTAGCTGGATACCCCCCAGTCCTGACTCTGGGCTTGTGTTAGGTCGTTTCTCATGGGCATGAGTCACCTCTGTGCCCAAGTAATGAACCAGCCTCCTGCGTGTCTGTCCCCCTCCCCCATCTCATAGGGGCTTGCCAATGCTCTCAGGGCCGCATCTGACATAGGTGTGGCTGCTGAGGACAAGGCGCTGGCCCTGGTGCCCTGGGAGTCCTCGCTGTGCTGGGGCTCTGGACAGCCACAGCCAGCGTGGCTCCCATTCCTGTGGCTGGATGGGGGCTTGGGGACCAGGGTGTTCAGGAGGGTTCGTGAAGGTGTCTCTTAAACTTGGGGCACAGATGCCAGCCTCTGCAGGGCACTGTGAGGGTCTATAATGAGACACGGGGCCAGGTGGGGCCTCAGAGTGCCACCGTGGCCATCCCCCGCAAAAGCTATTGGAGGTGAGCCATGGGCTCATGTGCAAATGAGGCAGGCTGTGGGGTCGTCCTTGTCACATTGGCACCATGGAGGTGGCGGCAGCACCTAAAAAAGGGCTAGTACGTTCTCCAGATTTTATGAATAGCCAGTTCAAAACACCAGCCTCCAAAACTGCACAGTGACACAGTGGCCCCGGGCCACAGCTGGCCGCAGTGGTAGCTGTCAGACTAAGACAGCCATTGTCTGCCATCGCCCAGTGGGCCGTCGTTGAAGGCCTGCCAGACGCGGGGGAAGCCAGAGGGGCTCTCCCAGCCATCCCCACTGGGGTGCCCTGGCCTCTTGGCCGGCTGCTGCCCGTGGCTTTCCCGCTGGCCTTGGGCTCCTTGAGCACCTGAGTCTGTCTGGCTCGGTGCCCTGTGTGCCCTTTCTCAGGCCTTGGTCCCGGTGCAGGGCCTGGCTTGAGCCAGCCTCCACCCTCTCCTGTTGGAGAGGTGCAGGGGTGGTCCTGGGGCGAGTGGGGACGGAGACGCAGCTGTGAAGCGGAACCCTGCAGGTGAGGCCGGGCACAGGGCAGCCTGCAGCCAGCACCCGACCCTTCCCTCGGACCTCCACAACACGGGGATTTGGGGCAACTAGAAAGGGCTGGGGATGTGGTTGAGTGGTTAAGTGCCCCCGGGTTCAATCCCTGGTACCAAAAGAAAAGGGGAAACAGAGCCTTGGGGGTCTGCCACCATGGAGCCAAGAAGAGCCCTTGGTCTGGTGGCCTCTTGATTCCCGAGCACACTGTTCCCTGGGTGATGCTGCTGCCCCACTCCTTGTTCTTGAGCACGTTTCCTCAGAGTTGAAGCACTCTCCATGGAGCATGGTGGTCAGCAGGTGCTCCTGTTCAGTGCTGGACTGTGGACTGGTCAGGTGTCCTGACAAGGACGTCGTTTTAGCCTTGCCTCCCCGCCCCCAGATCACAGGATATTCTGCAGTCCTGGATCTGTTCTAGGATGGTGCATTGGATTTCTGTGTTGGCTCCTGGCTTCGTTTGTTTAGGTCCTCCTCGGTCTCTCGTGACAGTGAC